GTTGTCAGGGGCTTTTGGTGCTTAGAGAGCATGTGTCTGGAAATAGATCACAACTCAATCGATTCAGGCCCAAGCCCTGGCACTGGCACTGGCCGAGTAAACAACGAAATAAATGTTATTATAGGCATAATAGAAATGTTAACAACGGCACGTACTAATCAAAGTCTGGCCCCGTGGGCGTGGGAGGCAGTGGGGCGCAAAAATTCCGACAGGCTGTCCTGTCGTTCTGTCCATCAAGGCCAATAGGGCGAGGAATTGACAGATTCCCACTTGAGTATGCCAGAAATGTAGTCTGGGAAATTGCATAAAAGCATGATTTAATGAATTTCCGGCAATAAAATAATTTAATTTTGGCCTAGTCAGTCAGGCAGCAGGAGAGCAGCAGGGGAGCAGCAGGGGAGCATCAGGGGAGCAGCAGCCGGAGAACTCTCTGGCTCATCATTAAAAACGTCAAGAGGCTTGCCGAAAAATGCTAAGAAAAAAAAAAAAGTGCGCAAATCTCCGCATAATTTAATAACGTCAAAGTTGTGCGTCCCCTAGATAGGTGGGGCCCGAAGGAGGCTGTGTGTCGCATAATAAAACTCCAGGCAGCAGGCTGGCAGCCAGGCAGGAAGAAGCCTAAGAAGAAGACGATTTTTGGGCCCTGTTCGGCTCGGTTCGGCATGACTTGGCGCCGACATGCGAGTACATGGCAGCCAGGCTAATCTATGAGATGTGCGAGCTGGCACCTAAGCCAGCAGCTTTGATATTTCAGCATTAGCTCCATTAAAGTCAACATTATGAATTTTAATTTCGTGCACTTTATGGCGGCGGCCACATAAGCCGTGTCTGTGTCAATTAAGTGGCAAGACGTGCCAATGCCAGACCTGGCAGGTCTTCCAGCATTTGTCGGCTTCTGCTCCAGCTTGGGCCAGCCAGCTCCTCCAGAGCAGCCAACAATTGCTGCTGGCTGGAAAACAAAGCCACAGACAAAAGTTGAAAGCCAGCAAGAAGACGTCAGCAGGGGGGTGGGGGAACTGAGACTGAGACTGATTCAGCAATCGCCTTACAAGTGCAATGTCAATTTGTGCACAAAAGGATAATAAGGATTTATGTCAAATGCTGGCGCTGTTTGAGTCTTGCCAATATTTTCACAGATGACTGCACTTGCTGGCTGGCAGTGAAAATAAAACGCGGCTTAAGCACCAGCAGCAGAAGCAGCAGCAGCAGCCGGAGGAGGAGCAGCCAAAAAATCAGAGAGCTCACTCAGGGGATTCCAAGAGACTCTTGTCTTGTCTGTCTGAGGGGGGGCGGCGTATGCTCCATCCACTGGCAAAGTTCGAGAAAGTTCAACGATTGAACTTTGCACTCGAGCACCTAATGGCTACTTAACTTATTAATTTCCTGTATTAGCAGAAACATTTCCACAAGCGACTCTCATTAAAAGTGCATAAATACGAGTACTTCAGCCGAGACAGGCCAAGTAGCTGAAAGCAATTTTGCCAATACTCGTCGTCCGATGATGCCCTAAACCAAGCCGCAAAACTCACTTGAAAAGTTCTTAACTTTCACCAGCAACAAGAACAACAGCAACAACCTTAATAGCCCGAACAAGCCCAACTTTCGCTCCGAGCTCAGAAAGTGCGCTTTGATGCTTTTTCACAAGTTTTTAGTGATTTTTTGTTGTATGTTGTAGCCTGCTTTGGGTGAGGGCTCTACAGACCCGCCCATACACCCAGACAGAAGGGTCAGGGGCTGGCACTGGGGCAGGGGCTGGAGCTGTAGCAGGGACAGACGAGGGACCACCAAAAGCAATCAGTTTGCGGTACACAATGTGGGCCAGAGGTAGGATACAGAGTCCCCAGCTTTGATAGAAATCATGCTGAGTTGTGAAACGTAAAATTGAATTTACTTTTTCAGCATTCCGCAGCTCCCACGTCCCACGTCCAGCACCCAACCCCTAGCCCACCTCACTCACACCCAGAGCCTGTGATTTTCCATGTGGCAGACAGTTTTTCACGCTTTTCACCACCAATCGGCAGTGGACAGAACTTTGCCGACTCAACCCAGTCATAAATCATTAGGCATTTTCCATATGCAAACGGTCTGGACTCGGGGCCTGGCTGTGTGTCCTTCTGCCTGCCTGCCTGTCTGCTTGTCCAGTGTGCCATCTTCATTGGTGTTATCACTAATCCCAGCATTAAATTCGGCTTTGACTTTCATTTACTAAAGATATAATACAAATTTCCGCACTATCCGCCGCTGTTTGGCCTGGATGGGTTTGGGGTGCCGCCTCGTGCTACCCACATCAAATGTACAACATTTCCTTTCACAGCAAACGGCAAAGTGGAAAACAGAATTTGCTGGTTTTGCAACAAAAGTTAATGATTTTGTTTTTGTTTGTGTGTGTTTGGCAAGCTCATTGAAATTTATAACTCCATTCGGTTGAGGCTTCTCGCAGTGCCACCCTCCTCCTCCTGCTCCTCCTTTCTGTGGAATGTCTCCCCCTTCTGCGGTAATCAGCTTAAAGTAGCCGCCGAGACCAAAGTGGAATTGAATTCAATTGAATTGAGCTGTCTGCCCGTTGTTACGAGTATTGTTGTGCATGTAACTGTTGTGGCATTGGTCATGTTTGCATCTATTCGTGTTTATTTAAATGTAATTAATCTGTACGGAGGTCGGCGCCCGAACTCAGGTTCACTGTGAGGTTAGGGCTTAGGCAATTAGTTGGGAGTGAGCTCGCAGAGAACCCGGGGGCAGGACTGGCTCCGAGAAGCAAGCAGATGATGGCAAATCTCATTTCCCACACTTTGCAACTCAAATGATAATCCTTGTTTACCATTACAGGCTAAGGATGCTCTGGCCACTGGCCATTGTGGCTAGAGTAAACTAAGCAAAGCAGATTAATTAATAATAGAGCTAAGTAGATAAACATCTTTGGGAAATTTCCTGGAAAATGATAAGCGATTGCAATAAAAAAAACAAGATTTAAATGCAGTAAAGGTTTCAAGCATTCAGAAATACTTTTACCAGCAATGAGCTTTCACCTAATAATAATTCAAAGCAATTAAACTGGTCTTTGAAATTTCTTGGATGCATTCAAATGGAAACAGGATTAAAAAAGAGCAAAACATTAAAGCAAGAATGAAAGCACAGAGCTAAAAGCAGATTCCATGTAATAAGAGAGGCAAGAGAATAATAATCTTCCCTTGGAATATGCTTGCAAAGAGAAACAGTAAACGATAATATTCCCGGAAAGTTATTTATATCCTTTGGACATTTTAATCCAAAATAAGAGATGTAGCAGCTTATTAGCTTATAATATTTTAGCTTATTATCATTTGCAGTAAATTCGCAGAAATAAAAAGCAGTTTCCTAGTGAATTGTCTTACAAAAATATAGAAAGTCAATGAAGTAATCAACGACCAAAAATTTCAAAGAAATAAAAGAGCAGCATCCACCTTAGACAACACCAAAAGATCTGATGTTGGCTTTTAAATGTTCAAGCACAATGCAAGCGAACCCCAGTGTAATTAATCCAATTTTCTTGTACCATATTTCACACTTAAAAATCAAACTCTGGCAATTTGTTACACTCACTCGCACCGCACCGCACGCACCCGAAACCGAAACCAAAACCGAGACAACGATACACATGAGACACCATTGAGCGGAGTGGGTGGCTGTGGATTGGATCCATGGGAACCATGCGGAGTGGGGTGTTCGGTTAGTACGTGAGCCCCGCTAAAAGTTGTGCAAATAAATGGCAGTGAAATTTTATAGCACACTTGATAATTTCAGCAATAATTCAGCGCAGCTAATCACCGCATAAATAATCTTAAGGACAGCAAAGCTTAGCCCATCCTCCAACCCCCGCAGCTCCGTGCCACTGGCACTGCCAAAACAGCTAAATATATATGGATATATATAGATTTGTATATATTTATATCTATATATTGGACAGTATGCATAGTGCAAGAGGCGAGAAGAACAAACATTAAGAGATGCGGGGGACAGACAGACGGAGACAGCAACTGTGACTGGGATCGGGAGACAGACTGTGCTGGGTGACTGGGATACGAACTGGGACTGGGACTGGGGCACGGAGTCTAGCAGTGCGCTGGCTAAGCGGCGGAATAGGGGAGCAAATAAAAGCAACCAGGACCAGCATCCAAAACTCATGAAATCGAGAACTCGGTCGAATGGAACGTGAGCGAAATTTTTGCTAACGAATGTTGACTTTGCCAAAGTACTAAAATCAAATAACAGCAACAGCAGCGGCAAACGCTACAGCAAATCAAACAAAATCAACAATCACTTGGTAAAAGTTAGCCCAAGTTGATGAAGACAAACGTTATGTATACGTAAGCGTATACGTATACGTATACGGACCAAGTTGGTTGGGCAACTATTTGGCCATAATAATACAACAAAAATTAATAAAAATGGCCAAACAACAAGCTGCCTGCTGTCTGATGTCTGCTGCCGCCCCTCCCTTTGCCCGAATTCGTAGCCAACTTGTGGATCTTTCAGTATTTAAGCCAAGTAAACAAGCAACGCAAATCCATAAAATTAACTCGCCGCAGAAGCGACAGCAGCTGGCAAAGTCAGCACCAGTCTCCAGTTACAGGTTCGCTTCCAGGCTCAGAACAGAAACAGAACCAGAGCCAGAGCCAGACCCAGACCCAGTGCTGAGTTCCTGTCTGTCAGAGAAACTGGCAGAAATGTAGGTTATACACACAAACACAATAGAAGTGGATACGTTGCGTATACGCCGCATGTGCCACACAAATAGGAGAAAGGAAATAAAAAGCGGCAGCCAACAACAAAATAAGAAATTTAATGCGAACGCTGCGTGAACCAAAAGTTTTAAAGCAACAAAAAAAGCACTGGGAATGGCTATAATTTGTATAACTTTATGGCGGTACAGGATAGCAGGCAGCAAAACACCCAAAAAACCCACACAAAAAAAAACACAAACAAAAAGCGGAACAAAATAGAAACTCGCTTGAATAATTTACCAGAAATTGTGAAGACTCCAAGGAATCCAACTCGAACTTAGTGTATGCCTATAGTTTAGCTGGGGACTATGTTTAGTTAATTGGAGTGTCACTGCTTGCACACTGCTTGCTTGGTATTTATATTCCTTGAAATTTTTTGTTGTTGTTTTTCCTTTATGTTTATTTCACTTTTATTTTTTTTTGTATTAATTTTCTTCTTTTTTATGTTTTTTTTTTATTTTGCGCACAAAACGATTCGTTGGCCCAATGCGGTGCACCGCTTTCTTTCCACTTTCACTGCCAAACCGACCGTTAAATTCAACGTTCGCCACGCATCTGACAGATTCGCTCGCTGGCCATCAGATATGCACGGAGGCTGTGCACGCACCCAAGCCATCGTCAGAGTCCTACTCGGCTCTGGCTCTCGCCTTGCTTCGTCCCGATTCGTTTGCTCCAGCTGTCGTTTCCGCTCGGAATGTGTGAGAGAGAGAGAGGGGTTCTGGCCAATTCGCCGCGTGGGTGCCAAGCCATCCAAAGTTGGCTATGGTCAGGGCTAAGAGAGCGTGGCCACAAAAGAGCACAGCGGGAACAGCTGAGCGTAGAACAGTTTTAGAAATCCAATTGAAGAGAGATCCCAGTGCAATAGCATATAATTCCTGTTGCGACTCGCAAAAGTAATTTCAAATACTGGGAACAAATGATTTTAAATTTAACAGCTGTTCCACATGTCAGTGCGCAGAAGCAGAAAACATGTTAGACATAATAATGGTTGCAAGTGGGAACAGTAAACGGAAATGTGCATAGCAGGCAACTGTGCTGCAAGCAACAAAACAAGTTTCGTAAATTAATTGGCAATTTTAGGAATGGATCTGCAAAGCTGGTCAATTGATTCTTCAATAAGATTATTCGAGCAAAAACAACTTCCGAGCTATAGTGACGATCGAATTGAAGGAATGCAAAAGCAGCGTCCTCAGAGCTCTCGTCGGATGACAAAAGCAGAAGAAAGTCGCTTTCTGGCAATAGGGTAAAGACATTTATTTACGTTGAGAGATGCTTCTGTAGTTTGTGATCTACGTTCCGATGCTACACTACTATTTGCGCCAACATGTCTTCACTTCTGCAATTCGGCAAGTGTTACCTTTTATTAATTTAATTAATTTAATTAAATTTTTCAATTTAATAAATTGTATTAACAATTCTTGTAATATAATAATAATAATATATAATAATATAATATACTAATAATATATAATAGTACTCCTGAAATAGGATCATTCTTACATTCGTTTAATTTCAAAGTTTGCTTGCTTGCTTCACATACGAGTAGAATCAGCATATTTTTGCATTCCACTTTGAAAAAAAAATGAGGGGGGGGATGTGAAAAGTTTAATCCATCTGGCTTAAAGCTAATAACAAAAAAAGATGAACAGGAATAGGATTTAAGACGAGAATTTACATGTTGAAATTAAACCACGCTAAGCCTTAATCCCTCATCCTCTCACACACACAAGACATCTCAATTTTAATTGGTGATTTTTACCCCAGCCATCAACACTCCAGCCGGTGGCCACCTCGCTTCCGGGACCGCAATGTTTATCAAAACAAAATTCCCGAGGCACTCCCACAGAAATGAGTGTGCGAAAGACATAAAGCAAGCGGCAGCGCTAAACGGGCCAAGTCACAGATCAATATAATGAACCGAAAACGTAAGCCGAAAGCCGCAACAAATTGCCAGTCCTGAATCTGGTATCCCTCGCTGCAGTGGCTCAATGTGGATTTTGATTTAAGTTTTAGCACTGCCGCGCACTTATCGAGCAATTGAGCGCTCCAAGGGATGGTCATGGACCAGCATAGAGGAGAGCTGAGTAGAGAATTGATGATTGAGGAAGGAGTATGGCCAGGCCATATGCCGCATTCGAATGAGAGACGAAAAGTTATTTGCAATATAAGAATCGATACGATACAGGCCACCCATAGATGATATACGAGTATGTATAGTACGAGGGCATGTGTGTGTCTCTGTTGTATATGGGTATCATCCCAAAGTGCACATCATGATTTTATTAAATGGACTCTGATGTATTTATTGTCCAGCAACAACGTGACTTGTGAATTGATTTCATTAAACTGAAAAAGTTAACAAAGCAGCGCTCTGCTCTGCTCCGCTCTGCTCGGCTCTGTGCTGGCAACATTTTTTGGACAAAGTTGCCCTGATAGCAGGGAGTCAGTCGGGTACTCAGCTATATTTCGCTATATAGATAAATATTTTTTTATGGCTATACGGGTGTCTCTGTGTGTCTGTGTGTGTGTGTGTGTGTGTGTGTGTGTTGGCTTAAGGACATCTATCGTTAGTGGCCAGGAAAAGAGAGCGAGTGGAGAACGGGTGGGAGCAGGAGGACAGCGGCGGTCGAGCTTCAATGACCAATGGCAACAGCAGCGGGCATCGAGCGTGGAATATCAATGTGGTCGAGTGGATGAGCAGCCCGGGCATGACAGGATGGGCCAGGACGGGCCAGTAAGAGTCAGGCCAACTAACTGACTGACTGTCAGGCTGGTCAGCAGGGTTCAGTCCGTCAGTCAGTCAGTCAGCTTTTTGTTGACCGCAGTTTGCCACAAATTGCCAAATTGTATAGCTGTATGTGTGTGTGTACGTATGGATGGGAAGCGTGTGCGGTTTTGGCCGCCTTCGTTTTGTACAAATAATGATGATAATGTTGATGCGGCTGTTGACTTAACGCACATAACGCTGATTAGCCGCCGTCGAGAAACACATACAGGCAGTTGCAATCGGACCTTAGCCTTTAAGACTTAATTGAAGCCTCCCCACAGAGATTCGTCAGCAATTTGTCAGCGCATTGTGGCATAGAGGGCGGCATTCAAACATCCAGCGAAGCCGCCAGGAGAGGTATGAACAACATTTCAGGGCCTTTGTACTTGGAGCGTCCTTGGCATGCGATTGCACTCAAACAATTTATATTAAATGCGCTTTTAATTGCAGTCGAGAGTCTCCAAAGGCATTTCAATGGAACGCTTTGCTATCCCCCATGCCAGAGCCAGTGCCAATGCCTGTGCCCGTGCCTGTCCTCGTCCCTGACTCTGACTCTGGCTCGGAACCAATGCGGCGTATGCGCGATGCATAAATGAAAGCTAATTCTGCATTAAGCAAATGCCCACCCCATTCCACGCTGCGTCTAAGCACATGGAATTATAAGTGAAGGGCGGACTGAAATGGGAAATGAAAAATTGCCAAGTAAAATAGAAGCTCAGACTCCTCCTGTTTGCCATAGACAGACATGGGCGTCTGCTCAAACTCCTTTCCCCCTTCCCCTTCCCGCCGTACCCAATGTTGTTGCTGTTCGTGCATTGTAAGTTGTCCTGTTTTATAAATGTTGGCGGCAAGAACCACTTACATGAGCCATTTGCATCATATTTCTGTTGTCATTTGTTGACATTTTACTTGCCTCGTCTAAGCATGCGAGTGTACGAGTGTGTGTCTCTCTCTCTCTCTCTCTCTGTATCTCTGTATCTCTGTGAAGACGTACCCTTAATGTGCAGTCATTATTTTTCAAGAAACAAGCTCAGCAGCAGGCCGCACGAGAGCATAGTGCAAAGGCGGCAAGCAGCAGGGCAGGGCAAATAAAAAGCCAAAGCAAAAACGTTTTGTACACACAACGACAAAACAAAAACAACAGCAACAAAAATAAGTAAAAAAAAAAAGAAGTATAGATTATGATGACGAAGCTTTTGATACCCTTGCAAGCAGATAATTGCCTTGGGAGTTGCTCCAACGGAACGAAAAATTTGATAGATTGAATTTATATACTTCATTTTCTACGTAATTTTGATCTTTTTCAGTCTCTTACAAATATAAGCTTTCTGCATTGCAATTTCAGCTTTGGATCAACATTTTGTATGCCCCCTTCAAGGGTATAATCAACCCATTGCCACCCACTTTGTTGTGTGGGCAGCAGCTCCGCCAAGCAAGCCAAGCCAGAGCCAGGGACAGAGACAGAGGCAAGGCAGCGGGCAGCGGCAGCAAAGGGTTCTCCTCAATGTTTGCCTTTGGCCTGGGCCCAGAACTTGGCTAATTGCCTCGGCCCCGACTATCGTTTTTCACCAATCAGGCGAGTGAGTATTAATTAATTATCTTACCATATGCCATGCTGCATTGAAAGCTGAATTTTCGCTGATTTTTATTTAACTTTGCACGCTAATTAGCGTCCATTTTGATGCCTTCGGTACGGTCGGGTCAGGGGCTGGATCGGATCCGGGTTCGGCTTCGGGTACGGCTACGGGTGCGGGTTCGGGGGCACTCTGGACCGGCCACAAACTGACTGTCATGGCTCAACTTGAGACTGAAGTTTTTCTGTTACATCGGTCCGAGCGAAGATGGGGCAAAGTTTCTTGGAAACTTTTACTGAGCTCTTGGCTTGTTTTTTCAGTTAGCAAATCTCTATTGATAAACAGTTGATTTATGCCACTATAGAAGGGAATGTGCAAGTTCTTTTGGCCTACTGCTAACCCTCCGCCAAGGGGCATACAAAAATTGCATTGCAACACGTTCAATGTTAATTTAAATCTACTAATAGTAGGTGCATACTCCTACTACACTTTTTTGGGCTTTAATTAAGTTTCACTGTAATGAATCAATTCTTTGTCGCGACACCCGCCCTACAGCACAGATATAGCATATCTAAAAATTGCATATGCATTTCAATTTAAATTGATAAAATCCATTTATTGACCAGAACAAGAATCCTTTTCATTTGCATACAAAACTCAATTGACTGTGTATGAAATATTTAGATATAGCACAAAAAAAAAACCGCCCATTTCTATGGCTATCGGGTATTTGTGTTTGCTGTATCTCCATTTAGGGTTCTCAATTAAAAGAGCAACGACAATTAACTATGTCTGTTTGAACTTGCAGCTGAAGTGCGAAATACAATAATGCTACAAACGAAGGCTCTCAATTTGTTCTACTGGAAGCCAAATAGACTGACAGAGAACTATTGCTTGCTAAATTCTGCTGATGAACATGATGTAAATGTAACGACTTAGTAATAGTTAAATTACAAGTGGATATTTTATGACATATTGTCAGATAATCCTAAACATATTCCAATCCTTTTGGGATTCTCTATTGCCAGTAACGGATATTTTATTTGTACTTATTCATTCAATTTATAACGCGGCAACAATTAACTAAATGGCTGTCCAAACTCTTAGCTGATTTGGCCTGGCGTCTGGCTGTCCTGTCCCCCCACCCCTTCACTCGGCGACAATTTGTTTTATTTCGTTTGGTCAGCATCGGCGCCGAAGTGCCGTTTGCACTCATTTTGTTTTTT